ATATAGTACTGTACTAAGATCTGAGGTAGATTAATATAGTACTGTACTAAGCTCTGTGATACATTAATATAGTACTGTACTAAGATCTGTGGTAGATTAATATAGTACTGTACTAAGCTCTGTGATACATTAATATAGTACTGTACTAAGATCTGTGATAATAATATATACTACTGTACTAAGCTCTGTGATACATTAATATAGTACTGTACTAAGATCTGTGATAGATTAATATAGTACTGTACTAGTACTGTACTAAGATCTGTGGTAGATTAATATAGTACTGTACTAAGCTCTGTGATACATTAATATAGTACTGTACTAAGATCTGTGATACAATAATATAGTACGTACTGTACTGTACTAAGATCTGTGGTAGATTAATATAGTACTGTACTAAGATCTGTGGTAGATTAATATAGTACTGTACTAAGCTCTGTGATACATTAATATAGTACTGTACTAAGATCTGTGATACAATAATATAGTACGTACTGTACTGTACTAAGATCTGTGGTAGATTAATATAGTACTGTACTAAGCTCTGTGATACATTAATATAGTACTGTACTGTACTAAGATCTGTGGTAGATTAATATAGTACTGTACTAAGCTCTGTGATACATTAATATAGTACTGTACTAAGACCTGTACATTAATATAGTACTGTACTAAGCTCTGTGATACATTAATATAGTACTGTACTAAGCTCTGTGATATATTAATATAGTACGTACTGTACTGTACTAAGATCTGTGATAGATTAATATAGTACTGTACTAAGCTCTGTGATACAATAATATAGTACATACTGTACTGTACTAAGATCTGTGGTAGATTAATATAGTACTGTACTAAGATCTGTGATACATTAATATAGTACTGTACTAAGCTCTGTGATACATTAATATAGTAATGTACTAAGATCTGTGGTAGATTAATATAGTACTGTACTAAGCTCTGTGATACAATAATATGGAACTGTACTGTACTGTACTAAGATCTGTGGTAGATTAATATAGTACTGTACTAAGCTCTGTGATACATTAATATAGTACTGTACTAAGATCTGTGATACATTAATATAGTACTGTACTAAGCTCTGTGATACATTAATATAGTACTGTACTAAGATCTGTGGTAGATTAATATAGTACTGTACTAAGATCTGTGATACATTAATATGGAACTGTACTGTACTGTACTAAGATCTGTGATAGATTAATATAGTACTGTACTAAGCTCTGTGATACATTAATATAGTACTGTACTAAGATCTGTGATACATTAATATAGTACTGTACTAAGATCTGTGGTAGATTAATATAGTACTGTACTAAGCTCTGTAATACATTAATATAGTACTGTACTGTACTAAGATCTGTGATACATTAATATAGTACTGTACTAAGATCTGTGGTAGATTAATATAGTACTGTACTAAGCTCTGTGATACATTAATATAGTACTGTACTGTACTAAGATCTGTGGTAGATTAATATAGTACTGTACTAAGCTCTGTGATACATTAATATAGTACGTACTGTACTGTACTAAGATCTGTGATAGATTAATATAGTACTGTACTAAGCTCTGTGATACAATAATATAGTACGTACTGTACTGTACTAAGCTCTGTGATACATTAATATAGTACTGTACTAAGATCTGTGATACATTAATATAGTACTGTACTAAGCTCTGTGATACATTAATATAGTACTGTACTAAGATCTGTGGTAGATTAATATAGTACTGTACTAAGCTCTGTGATACAATAATATAGTACGTACTGTACTGTACTAAGCTCTGTGATACATTAATATAGTACTGTACTAAGATCTGTGATACATTAATATAGTACTGTACTAAGATCTGTGGTAGATTAATATAGTACTGTACTAAGCTCTGTGATACATTAATATAGTACTGTACTGTACTAAGATCTGTGGTAGATTAATATAGTACTGTACTAAGCTCTGTGATACATTAATATAGTACTGTACTAAGATCTGTGGTAGATTAATATAGTACTGTACTAAGCTCTGTGATACATTAATATAGTACTGTACTGTACTAAGATCTGTGGTAGATTAATATAGTACTGTACTAAGCTCTGTGATACATTAATATAGTACTGTACTGTACTAAGATCTGTGGTAGATTAATATAGTACTGTACTGTACTAAGCTCTGTGATACATTAATATAGTACTGTACTGTACTAAGCTCTGTGATACATTAATATAGTACTGTACTAAGATGTGACAAAATAATTGCAACACATCAAAATACTGAAGATAAAAAGACAAAGGTACATAAACAGAGTTGTTAATTGTTGTTTGTGGGAATATTAATTCATTCACAATACAGTAGTAATGATACAATGTTTCTTATTATGTTATTATAGGAAAATGCATGGTTTATATAATTTGTTTATCACCGAGTCCATCACCATTTTCAAATTAGACTACATACAAGATATCTATTTCTCCCATACGTACGTCTGGCTATGCCTGGCAACAGGATCGGGTAAGGGGAGTGAATGACCCCTAGTCGAGTGTCTTCTGCAGCTGCAACTCTCCTTACTCCCTGCCCTATTTCACTGAATTTACTGTTTTTATTAGTGTGTACTGATAGAATAATGCTTAATAGTAATTAATGATGGCATTGTAGCTGATGGGCCTAGCAGTGAGTGTTAGTTGGCTCAGTTAGGGAGGAGAGGGAGGGGAGAAGGGTTCGGAGTGTAGGGGGGAGCATTGCTTGGGAGACGGAGGAGGTACTTTCCAGTTGGTCTCTGTTATTATGGGGAAGCAGGCAGTGTATGCAAATGATGACTGCATTAAACTTTCATTTGGTTTTTATTTACTGGTTTAGCAATACAGTATTTTTTGTTGTACAATATTTTATCATGAATGGCAGTCATATAAGAATAAGAGAAAGGCAGAATGTCGGTGACATGCAGTGGGTGGATAGGAGGGAGGGAAGAGATGGTGTGGGAGGATATGATGTGTCAGTCGGTTTGTTTGGTAACACTGGCTGCAGCACTGCTATATACGCTAGGGACTGTCAATTGATTGAAAATGTCCAAAGGGGAGCCACCAGACTGGTGCCTGCACT